CAAGAGAGATATTATTGAAGCTCTAGATTCAACAGCTTGAAAAATTACTTAAAGATCAAGAGATGGCATTGGAAAAATTAAAAGCTATCAGATTGAGTAACAAAGAGAGGTTTGACAAAACTCATTTTTAGAAGTTTAAATCAATTGAAGTTATGAATTAGGTATTAATGTTTGATAGTAGTTAGGAAAATGAACATAGCACTCTTAGGAAGTTTGCTCAAGGGTGGTTTGGACCATATATGGTTGTAGTAGTGCATGACAATGCTACCTATTCACTTCATGAGTTGGATGATACAATATTGAAGATATATGTGAGTAGAAAGAAAATCAAGGCATTCAAGACAAGAAATGGCAAATTTATTCCAAATAATCTTTTAGATTTTGAAACATTAGATTTGGATCAAATGAAAGATGTACAAACAGATAGAGATGATGAAGAAGACAAGCATGGTTAGATTGGCACATGCTAGAAGATGTGTAGGTTTAGAAAGGATGGATGTCATATTATAATTATTTATAGTATATAAAAAGTAAATAAAATAGATAATATATTTATAAGTATTGATATACTTTAGAATGTTTACTAGGTCAATTTAAAGAAAATTGATGTAAGAAAATTTAGTTTGAAATTTATTTATATTAATTATAGTATTTAAATTATATAAGATTTAGATATTTAATATAAAACTTAATTAGAAGATTGGAGCTCAAAGATGAAAATCCAAACCTCTAAGAAACTTATTTGGAGGGATGAAAGGAAGATATGCATGGATGAAGGCAAAAAGTAAAGATCTTCATTCCTATTAGTTGAAGCCCATGCCTAATAGGCATTCAACAAGCTTTCTACGACCATAACAAGGATTTTGGTAACTTTAAAAGAGGCATTTGAAAATCAAAAGTAAAGATTATAAGGTTTAGAATTTGGGCTATAATTTATACATAGATTTTAGAGGATTTAGAGTTAGGATGATAAAGTTATAGATATTTGAAGTTAAAGCATCTTTTTAAGATATATTGTTACTATTTTTAGGATATAAGAAGTTTTATGATAGATTTTGGAGATTGAAAGATGCGGCCACAATGATAATTTTAAGATCTACATTCATTTTAAAAATATTTCTGCATTTGGAGTTTGTATAAAGAAGTTATAGAGCATTGAAGATAACATATGTAATTCAAAGGCAATAAGTGAATTGTTTGTTGATAATAATGGTTGGAAACATATCTTGAGTTTTCAAATGAATTTTTAGTTCAAAATTTTTAAAAATATGTTTTATTAGGTTTAAAATCTATATATCAAAATTTTATGGTATTTGAGTATCTATTTTGTGAGATATGAAGAAATTTGCACATGGATATATGTAAATAAGGGTTTGAAGCTATTGTTAGAATTTTGGCAATATCTCAAGAATCATAAAAAAATTATAGTTGAAATTTGTTGTAGTAGTTATTAAAAGTATATTAGTACTTCATGTAAAATTTGGATTTATTTTGATGGTCCGATTGTGAGATATGAGTTGTTGAAGTTTGAAAAAAATTTACCTTAAGAATATATAAGGTTTTATAATATTTTTATTACAATTTTGATGATCTTTGGTACTCAGGACTTATGTATTGATGTAATTGCGCCTATAAGGACAATTTTATACATAAACTTGGTATTTTTTTTAATCTTGAAGCTTGATTGAGCAATTAGTGAAAGCAAGAAGCCCAACACTTTTTTAAGATAAATTTTCTCCACCACTATAATAGAGATGGCCAATTGATATGGAGCATGGATATACAATACATCCATCTAATAATATACAAAGTAAATTATATGAAACTTCTTCAAATGTTAAAATCCAGATAAGAAATGTTGCAATAGAGCAACATTTCTTTATTTAAGATATGTCTTATTCAATGATTTTAGAACAATCACATATTATGATAATACAAATAGAAACAAAAGTACTTAATAATTATTCAACCTATGCACAGATTTGCAGTCAAGTTAAAAAAAAAGTGGTATAATTTCTAACTGTACTTTCTAATCATGAAAAAAATTGAGATAGATTGAAAGAAAAGCCATTACCAAGAGTTATTGAAGAATTTAAGGATTTTGAAAAAATACCATTATAAAGCAAAATTATTGAGGTACAAAAAGAAAGATACTCTTGTAAGATATAGATGTCTTTGATGCAAGTTTATTGGCATTTTTGAAAATGAAAGTGTTATGAACAAAAAAGAAATTTATGGATAAAATTATAAAATATATATATATATATATATATATATATAAATATACATGAATTTTTGCTTCAAAAAATATTCTTTTAGAAGAGACCAAAGAAAAGAATTGGAATGCCACAATAATTGATTAGAAATAAGAAAGATCAACAAAAACTACTAAAATGATTTCACAATAGTTTGTAGGCAAGACATGGAAAAATTTGGCTACTTTTCATAAACTTAAAGCATGATATTGGTAAAAAAATATCTATATCAAAATATATTTTTATTTGTAGAATTGTATGAAACTTGTCAAACGTATTCTAATATATGACATAGACATGGTTTATATCCTACATATTCTTTGGCTATTCATTTTCAATGGATTGTTGATTTGATTATTATATCAATTAGATTATGGAAAATGAGATATTTGCTTTTAGAAAGAAAAGATTTTCAAATAAAGACATATAAAAATAAGTATAAAAGACCTTTTTAAAGATATAAATCTTTCAAGACAAAAAGTTGATTTTGACTTGGATAACAAAAATGATGAAGAAGATTTGGATGGAGACATAGTGTCACGGCCATAATCATGTAAGCTAATAATTACATATAGAAATAGGTAGAAGTAAGTAAAAGTAGATAAAAGTAAGTTAATTCTATAATATTTAATATAAAAGCTTCCTAGAAACTTCCTAGATGCTGCTTTGACTTCATAGGTGTCTTTAATTGACTTTTTGGATTAGAAACGTGGTCAACAAGTTGGCCATGTGCCACACATGTTGTTAGCTTGAAGATCAAGCTAACTATGTGGCCCACACGTAGAAAAACTTGCCTTGTAAGTCAAGGCATGTGTCCTACAAAGTCAACACATTTTGAAGGTCCTATAGAACATCGCCACGTAGCTCCTAGTTAGATAGTATATATAGAGACAAGAGTGAAGGCTTCTTCACTCTTGTCAACTCCTTTCTTGCTTCTAGTCTAGTTTCAAGGGTCTCTAGTTTTCTTGTCTTTTGGCAATAGCCATTCTAGTTTCTCTTTTCAATATACATACTTATAATTCATATTTTGTTACTTTTCTTTGAGTGAAGGCTTACTTGTCTGAATTGTTTTTTCATCGAGTTCTTGTCCTTGACACATAGAGAACATAATTTGAATCAAATAAGTATCAAAGACATGAATCTCAAAGAAAGAAATCTTCAATACACTCTTGTGACTTTAAAAAGAATTAGAAAATCATTCAAAGATGATATGGTATTGAACTAGAATGGCTATTGCCAAAAACAAAAAGACCAGAAAGTCTTGAAACAAGACTAAAGACTAGAAAGGCATTGACAAGAATGAAGAAGGCTTGACGCTTGCCTCCATATATACTCTTAATTAGGAGCTACATGGTGATGTCCTATAGGACCTCTAAAGCGTGTTGACTTTGCAAGACACATATCTTAACTTGCAAGGCAAGTTTTCTATATGTGCACCACATAATTAACTTTTTTTGCAAGCTACCAATACAAGGTTAACTTGTTGATCAAGTTTCTAACCTATCAAGCAATTACAAACACATATAAAACCAAAGCATTGTCTATGGAGCTTTTAGGAAGCTTCTCTAAAAGCTATTATGAAATTAATCTACTTTTATCTACTTTTATCTATTTCTACTCAATCATATAGGTATTTACTAGAATACCTATGTATATCCATGATAATAAGATTTGGATTATTTGGTACATATCAAAGAATGTGCAAGTTCAAAGGAGTTAGATGTCATGTGGTAATACGATTATATGGTGAAAAATAAAAAAATATGGATGTTATTATAAAAAAACCTAATAAAAAGATATAGTAGAAAAACAAGGATAAATGATAGGAAGATAGAAAAAAATTTAGTCTTAATGCTATTTTTTATTGAAAAGACTTTTATTTACTTTATAAGGGCATAAATACTTCAAATCAATATAAATGAAAAAAAAATAATATATGCATCTTTATGAAAGAATTAATAATATTTTTAAATAAAAATTTACATGTAAAAATTTATAAGTGTGAAAAGTTTGAGGTTAAATAAATAGTTAGATTAAAGAGAATAAGATTTTTGTGAGTTATGGTCTCAAAAAATTGAGATTTAGAGTAAGTGAGGGATTTTGAGATCTAAAATTATTTGATGGTTTGATTAAAGAAAAATTTAATAAAAGCAATTTAGACTTGAATATCTACACACAACCTTAATTTTTGGAGAAATTAAACAATTCAATAAAAAAAAATCTTTGTTGAAAGATCAACATTCAAATCAAAGAAGGAAGGCAGCCAATAATTACAAGGTTTTGAGAGCTTTTCTTACAATTGATAAGTTTGATTCTTTTCAAATTTTGTATACTTGTTAATTGTTTGTTTTTTGAAGTATAGGTGAAATTTTAGTCAAGATCTAAGATTTAATTAATATTTATTGAAGTTTCAAACAACTATATTAATTGATTGAGATTTATTTGGATTTTTTTGTAGGATTGGTTTAGGATTTAGGATTTGGTTAGGATTTAAGGATTTTCTAGGGATTTATTAGAGTTGGTCTAGCGTTTAGGATTTGGTTGAAGTTTAGGATTTTATAAGGATTTGACCTAGGATTTGGTTAATGTTCATTAAGATTTTAATTAGAATTTTGATTAAGATTTTATTAGGATTTTATTTAAGATTTGATTAAGATTCATTAGGATTTCAATTATAGTTAATTAGAGTTGAATTAGGATTTATTTAAGATTTCTAAATAAAAATATGACAGCTAAAACATGAAGTCAACTGCAATTTTGCATTGTTTCACTTATTTTAAAAATAAATAAACTACATACAACAATAAAACGTTGTAATTTCATCTTGGTTGAATAATCAGAACTCAAAAGGCGATACAAATATCAGAACCCAAACTAACCTCAAGTGTTCCACTGTCTCGTTCATGCACCTCAACAGGTGATGGAACTGAACTCAATAATCTGAAGCCTGAGCCCAATCAATGAACCAACAAAGCGGTTGACGAGACGACCACGACTTCGAAGGAATCCGACCTGATCCCGATCTAGACCCCGTTCGAGGCTGCGGCGGCGATCCACTACCACCGCAGCTGCCTGGACGCAATCAACACACACTAAGAATTGCTGCTGCCTGTTCCTAGCAACGCAAACTCTCTCGCAGGAATTCTATGAAGTAGGACTGGCGCACGTGGCGTCGCATGACGCTGGCTTGCAGAACTCGGAACTCACTGGAGCGAAGTCCATGTTCGCGTCGGGCGTGGTCGTGATGTCGACCGGGTTGCGCACCCAGCACTGTTTGCGAATCTGCCCCTGCGTGCCCGTCAGCACCCCGATGCGGCCCATCTTCGCCATGGACTCCTTGAAAGCGGCGAAGAACGCATCCTGGTTCGCCGCGAACAGAGTGACAAGCGGCTTGGTGCTCGGATCGGTGAACAGGACGTGGTCGGATGTTAAGATGCCGCGGCCCGCGACTATGCTCCTGAAGTAGCCGTTGTCGAAGACCGTGGTGCTGTTGGCGTCCAGCGTCATTCTGCGGTCCAGCCCCGCCGTGTTGCCGTCTGTGCAGTAGGTTTGGAGGGCTTCGCCGAATTTGGTGTCGGGGAAAGGGTTCTTCACCCCGGGCGCGAATCTGTCGGCGAACGTGGAGCAGCGGGCTTGACCGATCGTGTGACCTCCGGACAGCACCACCATGTCGGTCTTGTTCAGCCCGACATTGGCGAAGTTCTCGACCAGTCCCACTACTTTCAAGGTGCTGCCGGGCAGATTGGTCTTCGCAGCAAGCGCAAAAGAGTCCAGCCCATCCCTTCGGCCGAATGCTAGATCGATGTGAGGTCCTCCCGCCTGGCACCAGAAAACCCGACATCATGAGCCATGGTTGAGCCGATCGTGTTCGAGACAAACAACAAGCCCCCGTCCCGAAACGACAGTCACAACAAGAATAGCGACAAACTTACCTGTTCCACAGCCTCCGCAGCGGCGGCTCCCAGAATGTCCGCGCACGACACAATCCCCGGGCACGCCTTTTCCAGCTCGGCCTTGATGGCGTCGATGACGGTAAATTTGTCGACGGTGAAATTGTTGGGGTGGTCCCGCTCCGCCAGATTCACCTTGGTGGACTTGAGCAGCAGCGACGCGTCGCATCCCATCACGAAGCAGTCGTGGAAAAACAAACGCAGCAGCTGGGCGGGGGTGAGGGAGTCAGCGGCGATAGCTTTGGCAACCTCCGTCTTCACAATCTGCAGAAAGGTGGGGCACTTGGTGGTGTAGAAATCGTAATCCAGCGCCGGCTCGCCGTACACATCCTTACCCACTGGGCGTGGGCCAACTGCCGCTGGAGCAGGAGCACCACCCTGCTGTGCCGGCGGGGCTGCACCAGGAGCTCCAGCTTGGAGGAGGTTGCGCCGACCGCTGAATGGACACTCCTCGGCGGAAGCACTCAAAGCTAACAAGCTACAGATCACTCCGATCAGCAGCAGCGACGACTTCATGATGTCAGTTGGCACGAATTGCTGAAGAGTGGGTCGATCCGCCGACAACCGCAGTTGCTCTCCAGAGTGGATTCACCGGGAAATCCAAACCTGAAGAGGACGGATGTCACCCACTCCCAGACTGATGTGTTTAAACATGCAACTGAGAGCGAGTGTAGACTGCGCTAAATACTGCCGAAGCAAACTCGGATTTGCTTATGTCGACGTCTGGCCAGTGCCGCGCCACCATACCCGGCACTTACATCAGCGCCCGCATGATCATACCCTCCTGCGCAGCGCATATGTTCCAGAGGAAACGGCTACCGACGAATCTCTGACGAACGTGTTTGAAAGTACTATTCCAAATCTGGAATCAGTGGCGTGCCAGTCCATTTGTAGCATGGCGCGTTTTCGGGGGCGAGAGTTGTTTATGCGGGATATGCCTCGACCCGGTGAGTATATCAGCGCGTGGCCGCTGGGGATAACGGCGCGGACTCATCAGATCAACACGCCTTCGGTGTGTTCGCCGTATCTCTCCTCCTGATCCTGATCGCCAGCAGCTCTCCTGAGGTAGCGACCGACTCCAGCACCCAAACACCTCCAGATCATAGATCAAAAGATGGCGGCCATGAGGCAGGGAAGCGGAGACGTGTTGTTCTGCGCTGCAGTTCTGCTGGTGGCCGTGTCGTCGTTTCTGGAGGGAGCGGTGGCCGTGCAGCACGTGGTCGGGGGAGAAGTATCGAAGTGGAGCTTCCTTCACGCTAACAACAAAGCGTCTTTCTACAACGACTGGGCACAGAACGTCACTCTCAAGACCGGCGACTCTCTGTGTGGGTGGCCAAACTCGAACCCGGCATTTTGGATTTGATTGACGATGTGGCGCGTGTGATTTGCAGGCTTACTAACGAGGTTGGTTTCACGCTTGACAGTGTTTCAATACAACAACGCCACCCACAGCGTGCTGCAGCTGGCGACGGAGGCAGAGTTCACGGCGTGTACGGTGCCTAAGACCCCGGTGGACAAGTGGGTGACGGGGAATGACGCTGTGTTCATCAGCAAGGCGGGGACCTACTACTTCATATGCGGCACTCCGGTCCATTGCAACCAAGGCATGAAGTTCACGATCGCGGCAACGGGGGATTTCGTGGCGGCGCCCCCACGTCCCGTGGGTGCTCCTGGTCCTGGTCAGACAGCGAACCACGCTGCACCGACTGCAGTGTTCTCCGGCGCTCCATCACTTCTACTGAGCTTGTTGCTGATCGCAACGACGTTCGTTACCTTGTGACGGGATTCACGTGTGGAGAGGAGTTGACGTCGGACGGGGTAATAGATTGTGGTTGTAACCGCTGGCATGAATGCCCGTTCGTTTGTTTCTCCCATCGCAACGCGATCGAAGAGCTTCTGCGCAAGTCCGAAGTCGCGGAGGGCCCCAGGACTGCGCAGCGTAGGCAGATCGATTGTGAGATGATTTCAGCATTTCCGAGTAGGTGATTCTCTCAGTGTTTCAGTGAAGTGCCCATTGAATGGCTTGGGCGCCAGCGATGTAACGCATTCATTCGTATTATAAATTCGTTCTGAGTTCATGGCTACGACGAAAGCGGACATTGTCTTTGTGGGTGTTTGGAGATTGCGTCACTTGTGAGCTGTCCGGAAAGGATACTCTGTGGTTGTAGGGGCAGAAGTCAGGCGAATGCCGTGCATTTTCGTTAGGACTGATTAGTGCATTAAACGGTTAGTATTGTGGATTCATCATGAATCTAAACCGAGGTAGATTGGTTCTACGACAGGATAAGTTTCGATCATCACAATTGATTTGCGTCTCGGCCGGACATGGTGTGCGGGATGTTGACGACTTGGGCAAACTCGTGCACGTTTCCTCCTTTTCAAAGCCTAGTACACGTGTGTCGATTGTGGTTTTTCAGTGTACTTACCAAACGTGGTGTGCGGTTACAGTTCATCTTTATGATACATGGGTATGGAAAAAAAATCTAATCTATCCAAACCGAGAGCTTTGGCGTGGGAACAACCAGGTAAGCCTAATGAGGGCAAAGATATCCCGGTGGCAGCGCCACTGCATTCTGTGTTTCGAAATTGGACCAATTCTAAGGGGTTGTGTTCTTGATTCATGCTTTCAAATTCTGTTGGACAAGGGAACCACGAGGAAAATCCGCCGCCAGGAATGTGCTCATCTGTGGGGGTTCAGGAGTGTACCTTTCGTGGTCGCCTTTGCCCAACCAATTTGGTTACCTCAGGTTGGTCAGACTTTAAGAGTGGACGTATAAACCATAGGGGCGGATTACAGTAATGATTTATATCTAGTTGTCACTGAGGAAAGAAACTGAAGTGATCGTTTGAATCGCTAACCGTAGTTTTATGTTTAGTTTTCAGAAGTTTATATTTCGTCATTAAACATTTTGATGTAGACAACCGTGTTTAACATTGCATTGTCAAGGGCTTTTATATACGCATATATATATATATATATATATATATATATCATAGCTCTGTCGTTAGTGTATCTACGTATTGCTTAGACGTTACATGTTTACATCGGCAGCGTGTAGTAGAATAGTTCTGCTTTTTTTGTGCAGCTGAAAACAAATGAGTTCATCAACTTGCTGTCTCCGTCATAATTCTATTTTCTCTTCTTTTGTAGGACTTGCAGAGAAAAGTTAGATACGCTTCTGCGGACTTCATCCGGATCCACTGTCTGAAACCAGCATAGCTTCTACAGAAGAGCTCGTGATGTCGGATATTTTTGGAGTCTTGGGAGTTGTGTGTTCTCCACGTCTTCAAATACTGAGCCTGGTATTGTGGAGCAAGACTTCAACGTGTAACAGTAATACATTACGTGAGGTAGGATCATAGGGTGCATTCTGCTGGAATGTAGATTTCTATGATTAGCCAATGGCATGCTGGAAAATTAAGTCCTGTCCAGGCTTAGAGAACTGTGAGTCCAGCCTGTCCTGTCCATAAAATGGAAACAGATGAACTAATTACGCAATTGAGGAACTGCGCCGTGGGTGAGCTCGTGTCTTTCACCTTAAATATAGAAGCAGAGCTTATTTCACAGACATGGAACACTGTTGTGAGTGGCTCCCTTCTGTTAGGGTGCATGACTCAATTCAAATGACTAAAAGATCATTTGTTATGTTCCAGCAGTTCGTTGTCAAGTCTAAATAGGGATCAGTGATATAAGGATATTTCTGAACTTTCAAATTTAATATAACTCGTGTTAGTAGTCATAGTTTAATTGAATGGTCCTTCCGCACATCCATATTTAGACTGGTGCATACTTTCCGTGCCCGTCCCAAGCGCGTCGAGTACTATTGTTACGGTCCGTCATCGATATCAGAGACGCCACGGACGATGCATCCTCTTCCCGGACAATCCTTTTACTCAGGATTCTCCGGAGGGAATGATTTAGAAGGTACCGTACGGTGTTCTGTTGAGTTCAATGTAGCCGCTTTCCCCTGTAAAATCATACAACTTCCAACCCGATCTGCACATGCATGAAGGTCTGCAACACAACGGCGTCGATATTAATAGAATCCCTTAATCCATTGCAGCGCCGCTGGAATGGATGAGACCACTTGCATCAGCACGTTATTCATGTAATGCTGTGTTTCAGCGGGAACAATGGCACACGTAGAATGCAAGTTGGGTACATCCAGAGAGACGCATGCATATTATGCATTGTCCGAATACTGCAACGAAAACAAAGGACACTGTTAAGCATAGCTACCGACTGGCTGTTACTTCACACCAATTAGCAGCCTAGCTCCTTGATTGATGGAAGCCGAGTTCACGTCCACAATGGACTCACCCTGACAGCACAAACTACCGACGATCCATGCCGCTGTGAAACCGTGCGTGGAAAGCATGAACTTGAGAGAGTGCTGGTCTTGCGACGTTGTCGGTGGCTCAGTTTGCGCGTGCACGCCACTTGCGATCGATGAAGTTGATGTCGACAACAAACTTGTTCAGGTCTGTCCATATTTTAGTATGGATGTTGACACATAAATTATATATTTTATTTGTTTAGAAATTATAGGAAGTGTACCCAAGGCATTCTTCATTTTTGTCATCCAGTCTAATTTAGTGATTGTTCATAGACTTTACTATTGTTGTTAGATTTAGACTTTTAAAATAGTACTATTGATAGGTAAATGTATTTTTAGGTTGAATATCTCATAATTATAGAAGTAGTCACAACTTTTCTTTTTCTAATAGATATATAAAATATTTATATAGTTTATAAAGAATTTATATGCATATTATAATACACATGTTTAGTTTATAAATATTATCATGTTTACATAATATTTTAGTTGTTTAACTCTTAAAAACTTTAGTGCAAGTTTTAAAAATTATTCACTATTGCTTCTTTTATGTGTTCTTATTATATAAACTTATTATAAACTAGGTAGAATTTTAGGGAGTATGAATTAGTTTCAAAGTTCTACCTAAATTAAATATTTTGATATAAAATTGTACTTCAAATATAATATATTATCAAATCAATGGAAATTAAATTTCTATTTATTATTTTTCTAGAATTAATAAAATTGCTTCATAAGATTTTGTTATAAAGTTACTTCATTTAATCTTATATAACTTTTGTAATAATAAGGTCTTTACATGCATAAGCCTAGTTTTTGAAACTAAAAATATTTATTGTTTTTTGGCATTGTCAACTATAAATATTTGAAATTACCTTTCAATATATATTAAAATTGATTTATAAATTTTTTGCCATTTTAAACCATATTATAAGAAAGATTTTGAAATTTCACAACATATATGGTGGTTAAACATGATTATTATTGTAAAAATAGGAATTTGGCCTCTATTACTATTTTTTATCATTTTTTTCAAATATGGTCGTACATACTTTTAAGAATGAATTTAAATCATGGGAGAGTTATAAATCATTTTCTATCAAAGATGCAAACCAAGAACAAATGCTTCTAGATAAAAGTGCACTTATGAATCCAACTTAAATAAATCCACCATGGTATTGAAAAGAATATAACCTTAGATAAGTCTTGACTTATTGTAAAAATCTTCAAAATTTTGATCTTGTTCCATTAAACTTCTTTGGCATACTTATCCTTGCTTCTTTTATATGTATAATAATAAGACTCTTTAGATTCAATTATGAGCTTGATCTACATACTTCTTTCAACTGCATAATTATTTGGCATATACTTTAAACTTCATTTTTAACTTCTTTCATAGGTATAAGAATAATACTTCCATATTTGATGTTAGTAATATGTAAATTTCCACCATCAAAGTGTTAACAAGCTTGTGAAGATTTGCAATAGTTGCACATTTATTCTTACTTCTATCAAGTATAGCATTTATTATTTTTTCTTTTATAACAAATAACTTTGACAAATCTACAAGTCAAATTAAAGAAAATTAATTAGCAACCTCTAATATCAAATAAAAATTTCTACAATAAAAGTTAGTCTATTTTTTGTAAGAAAAAAATTAATGTTATATATATATATATATATATATATATATATATTTTAAAAATAAATAGTCTATAACTTTTAAAATATAAGTAAAAAATTGTCATAATCCACACACTTGTAAAATAAAATAAGAAAAATGAGTTATCACTTTTGTCAAACTATAAAGAACATGAATCATAAACAATAAAAATTTGAATATATTCTTATATCATAAAAAAGAAGTAGATATTTATTCAAAAATAATATTATATTATAACTAAAATAACTATTGTCAAAGACAAGAAGATTAAAAACTCTTAAAACTACACCAAGAATAAGAAAGATATTAACAAGGATGAAGAAGGCTTTACTGTTGCCTCTGTATATACTATCTAACTAAGAGCTACATGGCGGTATTCTATAGGACTTCCAATACATGTTTAACTTATAAAACATGTATCTTATTTGTAAGATAAGTTTGTTAAATGTGTACAATATGATTAACTCGTATTATAAGCTACTAATATGTGCAACATATGATTAACTTATTGGCCAAGTTTCTAATCTATAAATCAACTATAAATATACAAAAAATCATATCTTTATCTATGAAGCTTTTTATAAGATTTTATTAAATCTACTTATAATCATGTCTTATCTAAAACTTTTTATTTCGATAATTTATATATATCTGTAATACTTAAGTCTAAAACTTCTTAAACCTCAAATTTTTTATTATTATGTGCTTTTATCAAAAGATGTGGCATTTTTCTTTTTTTTAATATATCTATATCTTATATGGTTCAAAAGGAGACATATAAAATATAAGATGAATCTTTATATATTCTTATATGTATAATTAATAAGCAACTAAATTGATTTATTTACAAATAAAAAATAATCTTAGTCTATGGTCATCCAACTTATTAGAAGGACAAATAGTCTTGATATTACAATAAAATAATCAACTATTTAGGAGTTAAAAGTATCAAGTTGTAGATGATAACTAGAATTAATAAAGAAATGTGTTTGTTGAGTAGAAGAATATACTATGCTATAAGCATACTATATTAATGGCAAAAAAGTTGTTCAATCATCTTAATAATTGTTGATGATATATTTCA